CCCGCGTGCTCCGCGGCTTTGCTCCACTGTCCCGCTGCTGGCATCCTCAGAGGCTTTGCTCCCTGTCTCCCTGGTCTGCTGGAGTCCAGCAGACCAGGGAGACGTGGAGCAAACCCCGTTCGTAACTGCGGATCCAACGTAAGTCGGATCCGCGTAACTCAGGGACTGCCTGTATATATAAACTAGTAAATAAGCATTTTAACATGGCTTACCACATTAAGTATACAGTATTCATGTGGACATAACTAGTTTCTGGTGTACAGTGACATGTTTTGGTTTAACATTTAGGAAATTAGATGAGAATACTTTTCTTCCATGTTTGCTGGGGAGCCATCTCATGACCAGAACAACGTCTCCATTGGTAGGCCTCATCTGGGACTTCTCTAAAGTATGGTTCTCTAACAAAGCAAACCCTAGGCCTGACTCAAGTCTGGTGCACGTATGCATGCAGGCCAGGCCAAAAAGGGTGGGGGAGAGTCAGAAGAGTCAAAAGTGCTTGCTCAATCATGCATAATTTGTAAAGGACAGCAAGACCAGGCCAAGAAGACCAGAAACAACATGGTACTAGTACATCCTATTTTTGATGAGAGAAATATTCCAGCGACAGACGAAAAACTATTAAGCGCTTTTGCAATATTTTGGCACAGAAAAATGTATCCTAAATATTGGCATAATAGGAATCTTAAACAAAATGTAATATATTGGTAGATATTACTAGAATGAGAATAAATATAGGGATAGAAAACCTAATTAGTGCGAGGGATTGAGTAAGGAGTCCCCACTACCTTACTCACTGCAACAAGTTGAACTCGTTGATGCATTGTGGATGCCTCTGCACGTGGGGAAAGAAAGAGGTCCCGCCCTCCTGTCTGACAATCATAAGGGTAATAGCACTGGAAGAGTGAGGTGTGTGAGTGTGAGTGATTCATAGAAATACGTACATGTATATTCTTATTCTTAAAATTGAGTAGCTTGTGTATTGACCTAGGTGTTATTATCTTAATCAATGATTTAGATATCGGTATAGAAAGTACGCTTATTAAGTTTGCAGATAATACCAAACTGGGAGGGGTTGCTACTGCTTTGGAGGACAGGGTCATAATTCAAAATGATCTGGACAAACTGGAGAAATGGTATGAGGTAAACAGGATGAAATTTAATATGGATAAATGCGGAGTGCTCCACTTAGGAAGGAACAATCAGTTTCACACATACAGAATGGGAAGCAACTGTCTAGGAAGGAGTACGGCAGAAAGGGATGTAGGGGTTACAGTCGACCACAAGCTAATGATCTAGGGGTTACAGTCGACCACAAGCTAAATATGAGTCAACACTGTGATGCTGTTGCAAAAAAAGCAAACATGATTCTGGGATGCATTAACAGGTGTGTGAGCAAGACATGAGAAGTCATTCTTCCGCTCTACTCTGCACTGATTAGGCCTCAATTGGAGTATTGTGGCGAGTTCTGGGCACCACATTTCAAGAAAGATGTGGAGAAATTGGAGAAGGTCCAGAGAAGGGCAACAAGAATGATTAAAGGTCTAGAGAACATGACCTATGAAGGAAGACTGAAAGAATTGGACTTGTTTACTTTTCAAAAGAGAAGATTGAGAGGGGACATGATGGTGGTTTTCAGGTATCTAGAAGGATGTCACAAGGAGGAGGGAGAAAAATTGTTCTTCCTGGCCTCTGAGGATAGAACAAGAAGCAATGGGCTTAAACTGCAGCAAGGGAGGTTTAGGTTGGACATTAGGAAAAAGTTCCTAACTGTCAGGGTGGTTAAACACTGGAATAAATTGCCTAGAGAAGTTTTGGAATCTCCATCTCTGGAGATATTTAAGAGTAGGTTAAATAAATGTCTATCAGGGATGGTCTAGACAGTACTGGGTCCTGCCATGAAGGCAGGGGACCAGACTTGATGACCTCTTGAGGTCCCTTCCAGTCCTAGTATTCTATGATTCTGTATTGTCTGTGCTAACTATCCTGTGCATTGGAATAGATCTGGGTAACATTGCGCATTGCTTTCCTTTACTATTCTGTGCACAATAAAGTTAAAAAGAGTTTATCTGAAGTGTTTTACTGGCTCCTCTCATATCTAAATACCAAACCACATGACAATGTTCTACAATGACAATTAATAAACTTATCTTCACACTCTGTCACACTCATTCCTCTAATTATTTCCTTTCCTGAATCTAACAAGACTATATTGTATCTTCTGCAATAGCAGAGCACCAGAAGATTAACATGAAAGAACAGAGAGGGCTGGCTAGAATCAGTTTGTTTCCATGACAGGTCTTACATAGCAGAAGAGCAATTTCTAGGCAAGTGTTAAAATACCAACGTACACAATTTAAGGACTGCAGAAGGAGTTTTAATTTTAATGTGTTTAGAACATGAACTATGGAAGCAGGCAGGTAAAGACAAATTACTATCTTACCTAGAGAAGCAAGGTCAGAATACTGAGAACTTAAGAGAAATAAATCTACAGCTGTTTGCTGTCCTGAGCAGTCCAGTGCCAACTTCTTGTAAAAATCTGTTGCTGGTCCTAGATGCTGTACAACCTTTAGAAAGAAATTATACAACAAAGAGTACAAAGTTGGGAGCATACTACCTCAGGTACAGTAAAAATGTTACTAAACAGAAACATTATAAAAGATAAAAGTACAATCTAGTATTTTCTAATCATCATTTGAAGTTGCTTACTAACTTTAACAGAATCATTTTTTCTACTCCAAGTCTTCTGTTAATTAGCATTCATTATCTCCCTTTCAAGAAAACATGTTTAAATACACATTTTTTCTACTCCAAGTCTCCCTTTCAAGAAAACATGTTTAAATACAAATAAGCTTTCTAACAATGTGCTGTTTAAACTACAGCACATTCTTTGTATTTCTAAAATAACAAAATGACAAAATATTACAATAAGAACTGATGATTCAGAATCTTTGCTGATTTAGCACACATGTTTATTATGGTTCCTAAGCCCTTATGGATTGATACAGTTAAATAAAAAGCACTAGTGGTATTATTCTTCCAGCACTGTCTATCAGTTTGGCTCTGGATTAAGGAAGATGGAGCGATCAGTTCATTGTCTGGCCATACTGAAAAGAGGATAGGAGACACTGACTTGGGTTTAATCAGGCCACAACTTTATTAGTAAATGTCTAGGACCACCCAGCAGATGATAGTCTCCTATACAAGTAACCCCATGTTTATCCCATAATTACATGGATACCAGCTCCCCCTCCTATCTGTCCTGGTATCTCCAGCAAATCCGTTACCGGGTCCTAGCCATCTAGCCCCCAGTCATGGAGGGGTAAGGTGAGCTATAAGAATGTACATATAGAGTCCCTAACTGCTCCTCCTTCACTCCTTTAATGAACATCTCTCTTTAAGTCCCTTTCCAAGCTATTTATTGTGTCACCAGTGACTAACATTCTGTTTAGAATGGTAAGAACAATTAAAAATGGGATAGAATGTAAGACAGAAAATGTCTTATTGCCTCTGTATAAATCTCTGGTACGCCCAAATCTTGAATACTATGTACAGATGTGGATGCCTCATCTCACAAGAGATATAGTGGCATTGGCAAACGTTCAGAAAAGGGGAACAAAAATGATTAAGGGGTTTGGAACAGATCCCATATGAAGAGAGATTTAAAAGACTCGGATTTTCAGTTTAGAAAACAGGAGGCTATGGGGGGGATATGATAGAGGTCTATAAAATTATGACAGGTATGGAGAAAGTGAAATTAATAGGCAGCAGTTTTAAAACAAACAAAAGCAAGTTTTTTTCTTCATACAGAGCATAGTCAACCTGTGGAACTCCTTCCCAGAGGATATTGTGAAGACAGGACTTTAAAGGGAGTCAAAAAAACCCAAGATACATTCATTGGAGGTTAGGTCCATCAATGGCTATTAGCCAGGAGGGGTAGGAATGGTGTCCCTACCCTCTGTTTGTCAGAGGCTGGAAATAGATGACAGGAGAGAGACTGCTTGATGATTACCTGTTCCGTTCATTCCCTCTGGGGCATCTGGCACTGACCACTGTTGGAAGACAGGATACTGGGCTAGATGGACCTCTGTTATGACCCAGTACAACCGTTCTTACGTATCTTTCCTAGGTAGAACCTGCACTGTTATGACCCATTACAACCGTTCTTACGTATCTTTCCTAGGGAGAACCTGCACTGGACACCCACCCTACATTTAAATAATGAATTGTGACATACGGCCTACTGTACATTATACCATGCAAGAACGAAGTCCTTCCTAAAACCTGTTGTGGGAAGGCAAAAAAACCCACCAAACAAAGAAAAAAAAACCAAATGCATCCAAGCCAATATGGTTATAAGGGAAAAATTTCTTCCCAGATCCCCTAAAAAGGGAGAATTAGTATAATACCCACAACAGGTGTTCACCAAATCTGATATTTTACCACAGAAGAAGAAGGTAAGGGAGGGCAAGTCCTGTCCTGATATTTTACCACAGAAGAAGGTAAGGGAGGGCAAGTCCTGTGTCAGCCTTGGTCTATGTAAAATGGAGGCTCCAAGCCCTGAGCTATATGTTTTTCAAACTCTACATTCCTATGTGATGAGTCTGAAACCCACTGTTCCCTTTCTGTAGCCATTTTCATTTTTTCCAACTTCTCCTGCCTCCAGCCATTAACTTCATTTGGCAAGGCCAGCCAAAAAAACCTTGGTTTAAAAGGTGCAGGGTGGTCACTTGCCTCAAAGACAGATGAATAGTGCATCCAATGTTTATAATTAAAATCTTAGATTAATATAGACTTGCTGAAGAGATTTAAAAGCTAGTAAGGTAACTTGCAACTTGGTAAAAAAAAAACACACACAAACACCAAACCACCAAAGGTAGCCTGAAAAACTAGATTACAAAAACAATTCAAGTTTTCTAGTGTTAATAATAATAATGAATGGTCCATACAAAAAGTTAATAGTACCTTTGTGCTGGATCTTTGATTGGGATCTTCTCTGGAATGCAATAGCCCTGCACCCAAGGATGGTAACTGTGACTGAAACACAGAGATGCGGCCACCTGTTGGAGACATCAGTTTAAAGGCAGCCTGAAGTGCAGGACCCAGTGCGCTGTGTGTTTCTCTTGTATTGGTGAACATATTTGGTAGCGCATTCAATAAATCTTTGATCAGCTGCAAAATAAATGGAAAGGTATTATTGACAAACTAGGGATGCAATTTCTCAGAAACTCATGGGTGATATAATGAGCACCCAGTACTGAATATTTCAGTTTATCTTCAAAACATGTTGTATGAAAAATGAATTTGAATGGAATAATAAAATAGCAAACCAGGATTTCATCTGTACATTACAATAGTATCATGAATTTCAGCAAAATTAAAATGCTGAATTTAAGCATTATATGGAGAATATACTTAAAATAATGGAATTTAAATTGCAGACTGCATAAAATATTTTAAAAATGTTTTTTAACATTTTATTTGATCCATGAAAAGTAATGATACTTTTTTTGATCAATCATACCTCTTTGCTTTCATGCAGATTTACAAGTAAACTATCAGGTGTAGGTAAGAAAATATCTATAGAAGGAAAAATACATATTTTATTAATGAATAAATGCACACTACAAACCGCACAATATATTACTTCTGTGGCATCATGGAAGGAAAAATACATATTTCATTAATGAATAAAAGCACACTACAAACAGCACAATATATTACTTCTGTGGCATCATAAAAAAAAGGATCAAATAAACCCTGTTTTTTCTGACTGTACAAAATGTATTTTATACAAATAAAGACTGCTTTATATCAGTGCCAGTATCATTAACATTAGTTTTTTTTTCAGATGCAAATATTTTGCAATTTATTTTTGTAGTAAACTTAACTGATCATTTTACATTATGCTGCTATGCATATTCATTATATTTAAGCAGATTTTGATCTGTCCCTAATGTGAAATAAACTCTTTTTTTCTTGCTACTTACCATCAATATCTGAGACAATAAGCATTTGAGGCTGTGATAAACCTTCCTGCAAGTTGTAGAACTGAACAGTGCTGTCAAATGTTACGAACCCTATTCTTGTTCTAGAATCTCCAGGCAGCCTTAAGACAAGAAAGACATATTAAATGCCAAGCTAAAAATCCAGATCTCAGATGCACATCTGCAGCTTTCAATAATGTCAAAGGAAACCATGTTTGTGTATTTGGGACAAAAGTGGGCCCCAGTTGCTTAGGCCTGGTCTACAGTAGAAAGTTTACTGGCACAGATGTACGAGAAGACCACACCTCTAAGTGACATCATATGCCAGGAACTGTACATGCGGTTATGATGGTCAAGATAGCTTATTCCATTTGGGGACGTACGTTAAGCTATACTGGCCTCAGAATTCTTTTCTGGAAGAATCTGCATCTACATTTAGGGGAGTTTGCCAGTATAGCTAGACACAGGGTCAGATTGTCATAGTTCATTTTTCTAAATGTAGTTAAAATACTATTAACATGAATAACCTAAGATAGACTGCATTTACTTGTTTTAGGTAGCTATGAGAGGCAGTTACTTGCCTATCACTAGAGGTTCTTCAAGATGTGTGGTTCTTTTCCTTATTCTGCTGAGGGGTTCTGCATGTGCATCATGCATCCCGAGCTGGAGAATTTGAAAGCAATAGTGTCCTGTGGCCCACACATACATCCTTGCCTCATGTGTTTGTTCAAGTTAAAGTAACTTAACATTTCTGAAAGGTACTGTCCTATTGCAACCCAGGTCCCTGACAGATCGTTAAATAGCCACCCGCTTATTTTCACCTCTGGAACGTCAAGAGGATAAAAGGCAAGGTGGATCAGCTGTGTATCCAGTTCCTTCTCCACCACAAATCAGACAGAACCACAACAGAGGAAAAGGCAGGCAGGAAGTGGAATACAGAGTCCTCAGCCACCAGTTTCATCAGCCATTCTGCTGGAGCTGGTGGAAACATGTAGGCCAGTGGAGGATGTGGTGAAGGGTGCTTTGACTCCACCATGTCATTATGGGAGATCTGGGTTTCCTAGAGGTGGATTGTAGCAGAAGGTTCTCACAGGACAAAGAGTTCCTCTGGCTCTGGCAACTTTTCCAACCACCCTGGTATTAAGGGTACATTTTCCTAATGGGAACTGATGCTGGAGTAGAGTCCCATATCTTAAGCCAGACACGCACATCTCAGTATCCTGTATTGATGTATTTTGTCATCATAATTATGACTACAAAGGAGCAAACTGCTTCCCCATGGCTGGAGCTTATGGAAGCAGCATCTCTTTCTTTGCTTTGGAGGAAGACTTACTGCCATGCTTACGTGCATGCTTCCTTACCTATGGCACAGGTTCCGTAGTGGTGGTACTGCTGGAAGTACACACCTAGCTGTGTCAGGCGAATGTACAGAGGTTTTCCCATCCTTGGTCAGAATGAGATCTCATGGTAACTTCCACCAAGTTCTTCTTGAGGGGGAAAGACCAGTCTTCTTGGGTGTGGCTTGGAAAAGACTGGCAGGTACTGCACCTAGATGCAATGTGAACTTCTCCCAGGCTGTAGAGGCAATGTTGATGTTCATCGCTGGCTGAGAAGGAAGGGGGCACATTTTAAAGCTTGGGGTCTTCAGCAGTATCCATGCATGGACGCAGTGGGAGGTGAATTTAAAAGTAAACAAATCCCCCAAAGTGCTATTTCTATTCTAAATAGCTACTAAAATGACAAAAAACTAAGTAAAAACAGTAAAAACGGCAAAAGATTATCAAAAAACCCTAACTACATACAACTATACTCTTTTTAAAAGTGCATCATGCAAGACGACACTAACAATTCCAATCTAGATGATGCGATGGTGAGAAGGAACTGGAAATGCAGTCTGTCTACTTCACTCTTAGTAATGCTGGACGAAATCATGAGGCAAAGCGAAGACACAACCAACAGACACTACTACTTTCAAATTCTCTGGCTCCAGATACATGGTACACGTAAGCAAATCAGCAGTGGAATACAACAAGGACCATCACTCGCAGAAGAACTTTTGTTCCTTTCACAAAAGGAAATAAAGAAAACAGTTCTCTCCATCCATGACATAATGTTACTATAAGATAATAGCCTGTGCATTACAGAATTCACTTGGCATTGCAGTATAAAGTTACTAAATAGAGAGTAACAAGGACAGCTGGGTACTACTAAGGATTATGTACTTAGCTGCCCACTCTACAATTTTTTTTTTTTAAAGGAGAAATGTTATTTCCTCAATGTTTCCTAAGCATGTGAGACAATCACCATAAAAAGCAGAACTACGCAAACTTCCAGAAGTCATTACAGTTCTCTTAAATAGGTCATACTTCAATGGTTTTAGAAGACTCAACTTGAACTTGTTTGAAAAATTTATCTATGATATCAAGAATTCAGTTGTATTCTAATGCATCTAAATTCATAGTTTTCTTTTTTTTCCTCCCTTCATTCTTACATCCTATCTTTTTTCATACTTCGCCCTCCGTGTAGCTATACTACATCCGTTTCATCACAATTTTTGAATGTAACATTCCAAAGAATGTTCTCCCCACCACACCCCTGAAAACAGAAAAATCAATCTGTGTTTACATTCTTTGTTAAAGAAAAAATGCCAGTAAGTGAGGCAGTGGCGATTTGTCTATTTAAACGCTAATATGAAAATACAGGGTGTGCCTAATGCAGTGCATATTCTTCAGCGGTAGGACACTTGCTATATGTATTCTGTGTGTTAAACAGCAATAACAATATCAACTGAATAGAAGTTACAAAGTAACATTTGAGATAGAATACTTTATCAAACTACAGCAAGTGCTCAAAATTACCTATTTTGAATCACAGAAAAACCCAACCAAAAAGTAATTTTATATCCTGAGGTAAAATATAAGCTTTAGCAGCTCTCTCTTTTAGGATGAATTCATACAATATCTAAATACTAGGAGTTGCCTAAGAATTGCTCATTTCTATAACAACATTTCTAAGGACAAGGATCAAAATATAAAAATAAGCAAAGTAGTATTGGTGGTCATTTAAATGTGAAGTAAGAAATCCTTACTTCAAATTTCTTATACACACTATTTGAGAGAAAAATCATTATTTCAGGGCCAACCTTTCACAGTGTGTAAGATTATTTTTAAAATAGACATGAGCAGAGAGGACTGTGGGTGTTCCCTCTGGAGGAGCCACGGAAAGGACTTACAGCTACTGAGACAATAATAATACACCAACAATAGATGAACAAATGGTATTACATAGCAAAAAATTAAAAATTTTGAAATTTGTGCCATAAAATGAAAAATACAAAGCAGTTTACATGAGTCTCTGCCAGTTATATTCTCTAGCATGGCATCCTGGAAGGTGTACTATTGTCACAGAATTTTACATGTTGTGTCATTTAGCAGATGGAAGCTGGACAATATACAACTTTACGGAACTAAAAATCATTAGAAATGTAGAATTCACATAAGGAATATCTGTCCTTAGCCATAGCTATATTGAGAATTCAGTATACAATTCCTGGTTTATCTAAACAAAACACTTTGCAGATCATTTCTAATCACACTTCTAGAAAGATTCTTCACCATTACACAAACGGTCCTAAGTTATATAGCCATATTCTTTTTCTGAATACTAACAACAGACACTGTAAAATCCAATAGCCAGAAGAACATTTGCCCCATATTGGTAGGTCTTCTAAACACTGTTTTAAAGTTCAAGTAGAAGATACAGGATAAGCTAATATTGAAGCTTGCTCCACAAATATAAAATAAAGTCAATCCACAATGACGGTAATGTATATTCTTACTTGTCTAGATTTTCCAGCAATGACTGACAGACAATTGTCAAGTATCCAGCTTCCACTGCATTATGAGACACATCTAAAACAAACAAGTATACTGCAGGCTGAGGAGGACGAAGCTGTAAAATATAGAAAATAATGCCAAATTCTTATAGGGAAAATATGTTCATGGATAACATTCCTTTTTTGGGGGAAGGGGAGAAACAAAAAGAAAGGAAATTACTTGCAAAATGTTAAAATATATGCTATAATTAAATTAACCAAAACCAATTAACCAAAACACTGTCATTATGGGCTTTTAACAAAGCAAATAAAAGACATTTTCACTTATGTTAAGATTTTGATTAACGTAT